TGCCACCAGTGCCTCAGGAGGAGGAGGAGGAGGAGGGAGCAGGAGGAAGATAGAGCAGGAGGATCCGGGTCAACCCAGGATGCCTCAGCAATTCTGCAAGACGCACCCCGTCCCAAGTCCCCTCATAAGTCCATACAAGCCTTCCATTTCGCTCCTGCGAGAAGTGCACCCTCGAACGACGAGCATCCTTTGGGCCTGCCATGCATGGGGAGAGCCCCGTTTCGAGAAGGAACTGCCCTGCGTCCTCTCAGCGAGCGACATAGCGTGTAAGAAGTTATGATCACTCCTCCTCTTCTTCTTCTTCTTCTTCCTCCTTCTCCTCCACAAGTTCAACGAGTTATCCAGCGGGAGCCCCTGTCTCGAGAAGGAGCCGCCCCGCACCCGTGCCGCTGTTGCACAAGTCTTGCGCTCCCAGCCGTCGAAGCTGAGGAGGCCTCGAGCGCGAGCCCCATGTCGAAAGGGACCGCCTTCATGCGTGCAGCTGTTGCATATGCTTGAGCCTCTGGCTGCTAGTGTTAAGTCGAGCCTGTCCCTCTACAGGGGGAATATTCAAACATAGTAACAAAACAACGGGACTAGTTGTTTGAGCATTTTTGGGGTATTTTTTGGGGGGGTATTTTGTATTTTTCGTCCAAAATGGGCCTGTAGGGGGACAGGCCCGACTTAACGCTAGTGGTGCGGCATCCTCGAGCGAAAGACTCCCTGTGAAATGGCTGCGCCCTCCGCCCGTGCAGCTGCCGCAACCGTTGTAGCAGGCATGTGCGTGGCGCGGGGGCGAGGACCGGAAGCTGGGCGAGGGCTGCTAAATCGGGAGCCTCGAGACGGGGGTCAATGCAAACGGGGGTCAGCCAGAGCGCCAGATCCTGCAGGATCCTGCGAAGGCCCCCTCTGGCTGACCCGGGTTAGCGAGCCGCTCGTGGCCGCGAGACGGCCGCGCCTGTTGGCTGACCCTGGTTTGCGAAGACCTGCGTTGCATTTTTTTTTCCTGCATTGCAGTTTTAGTTTCCTGCTGACCCGGGTCTGGATTGACCCGGGTCAGAAGATCCCCGAGCTAAAACCGTGGCTGCTAAAACGGCCCCCCCCGGAAGGACAAGACAACTTCCCGGAAGGAGGCGCGGCACGCGCAACGTTCCGCGGGCTCTCTCCCGGAAGGACGAAGACAACTTCCCAGAGGTCGATTTTAGCAGCCACGGATTTAGCAGCCCTTGCCCGGCTTCCGAGAGAACCCCATTTTGAACATGAGCCGCCCGTCATCATTGTTAGCAACTTTGATAATCTAAGACAGGTGTCGGCGGCGCGCTAAGGCGAGGAACCCGTTTCAACAACGTGGAACAGTTGTTGTAACAAGTGCACGTTTCCAGCGCACGAAAGTGCGGCGCTAAGCGATATGCCCATCTGGGAAAGTTACAACAAAGTAAGGACATCTCAGGCGAAGCTCCCAGATCACACAGTTGGTTGTGCGAAAACGAGTTATATAGAAGGGAGTGGGGTGGAGGAGAGGGGTGGGGGAGGAAGGGGGAGGAGGAGGAGGAGGAGGAGGAGGAGGAGGAGGAGGAGGAGGAGGAGGAGGAGGAGGACGAGGACGAGATGGAGGGGGAGTGAGAGTGGAACGAGGAGGAGGGGGAGGAGGAGGATGAGGGTGAGGGGGAGGAGCAGGACTTCTGTGAGCCAAAGTGCCTCCTCATGGGCTTGGAAGGGCCTGAGGAGGAGGAGGAGGAGGAAGAGGAGGAGGGGCCCCGACGGCTCGAAAGCAGGTTCTCCACCCAGCGCATTCGGAGGAGGGGCGGTGGAAAAAAGAGGAGGCGAGGAGGGAAGAGAGGGGGGATGCGCCCCCCCAGCCCCTGCTCAGCTCTGCCGGCCGTCGTCCCTGCTGTCTCGGCTGTCGTCTGCGCCGTGCTCCGCGTCGGAGTCGGGGTCGGCATCTGCACCAGCAGCCTCCCTGCCCAGCGCCCGAACCCGATCCGCGCCGCCGGCCTACAGCCCCGTGCGCGGCGAGATTCTACTCTCTCGCCTCCTGGGCTGTCCGGCGGTGCACGGCGAGCGCCGCCCGCACCCGTGGGCCTCTCTTCGCCCCGGGGGCCGTCGCGCGCACCTCGCGGCAGCGATCCGAGGACGGGGCGCCGGGCTCCTCCGGCGTGAGCTCCTTCGGTGCCGGTCCGTGGCCGGGGGGTTTTGCCCATACGCTCGGGAGCGGAAAAGAGGGGGGTGATGACTAGGGGGGGGTGGATATCATGGCGTGGGCCATGATATTTCCCCAGATTACATGGCGCCTCTTCTTATTTCATTACGTCCCTGGCCCCCCCGCTGGGCCGCGCACATGCCGCCGGTCATGCGTTGCACACCCCCCTCTTGGACACCCCCCTCTTGTGGCCGCTCCTGATAAGCACGAGCCTGTGCCACCGGTCGCTAGAGCCAGGCCCCGCGGATCTGCGCTTGCACTGCCCCGCCGGGGCCTTCCCAGGACGGTGGCCCGAGAAGTGCCCCACTTCCACTTCGCACGCAGAGACATGTGCAGTGATTCCGACGCTCGCGAGTGGACGCCTTCAGCAACGCGTCTTCCACATTCGAATCGGCGTCACGCCAACATACTGAGACTATGTGTGCGTACTTCCACATACAAGGCCAGCATACTAAGACTATGTGCGCGGCGACGCGCGCACCGAGAAATCTTATGGTATATATGCGTCGAGGCCGGTGCTTTCTGGTTACGTCGCTCGGGAAACGATCTACAAGATGTTTACACTATATGTTTGGGTCGGACGCGGGCCTCCGAGGAGGACTCACAGTACCCGTCTGTCTTGGTGCGTTCCATCGAATTCCATTCGCCGCAGCGCCGCCCTCTGGGGGTTCCACCCGTCGTCCGCCCAAGGATGTCGCTGAGGAGTCTGTGGGCTCCGTGGGATCGGCGTCGGGGCTGGCTGCTCTGTTGCGTCGCCCCTCCCGCTGCCTCCTGCCCAGGGCCCGCCATCCTCAGCCTCGTCGGCCTCATCACCATACGGCGCCTCATCACCACACGGCGCCTCATCACCATACGGCGCCTCGCATCATCATCGTCATCGTCATCGTCATCGTCATCGTCATCGTCATCATCATCGTCATCGTCATCGTCATCGTCATCGTCATCGTCATCGTCATCGTCATCGTCATCGTCATCGTCATCGTCATCGTCGTCGCCATCGCCATCGTCATCGTCATCGTCATCGTCATCCTCATCCTCATCGTCATCGTCATCGTCATCGTCATCGTCATCGTCATCGTCATCGTCATCGTCATCGTCATCGTCATCGTCATCGTCATCGTCATCCTCATCGTCATCGTCGTCATCGTCGTCATCATCATCGTCATCGTCATCGTCATCGTCATCGTCATCGTCATCGCCATCGTCATCGTCATCGTCATCGTCGCGTCGTCGTCGTCGCCATCGTTATCGTTATCCTCATCGTCATCGTCATCGTCATCATCGTCATCGTCATCGTCATCGTCATCGTCATCGTCATCGTCATCGTCATCGTCATCGTCATCGTCATCATCGTCATCGTCATCGTCATCGTCGTCATCGTCATCATCGTCGTCATCGTCATCATCGCATCGTCATCGTCATCGTCATCGTCATCGTCATCGTCGTCGTCGTCGTCGTCGTCGCCATCGTCATCGTCGTCGTCATCGTCATCGTCATCGTCATCGTCATCGTCATCGTCATCGTCATCGCCATCGCCATCGTCATCGTCGTCGTCGTCGTCATCCTCATCCTCATCCTCATCCTCATCCTCATCGTCATCGTCATCGTCATCGTCATCGTCACCGTCATCGTCATCGTCATCGTCATCATCATCATCATCATCGTCATCGTCATCGTCATCGTCATCGTCATCGTCATCGTCATCGTCATCGTCATCGCCATCGCCATCGCCATCGCATCGTCATCGTCATCCTCATCATCATCATCATCGTCATCGTCATCATCATCATCATCGTCATTGTCATCGTTATCGTCATCGTCATCGTCGTCGTCATCGTCATCGTCATCGTCATCGTCATCGTCATCGTCATCGTCATTGTCATCGTCATCATCATCGTCACCGTCATCATCATCATCGTCATCGTCATCGCCATCGTCATCGTCATCGTCATCGTCGTCGCCGTCGCCATCGTCATCGTCATCCTCATCCTCATCATCATCGTCATCGTCATCGTCATCGTCATTGTCATCGTCATCGTCATCGTCATCGTCATCGTCATCGTCATCGTCATCGTCATCGTCATCGTCATCATCATCGTCATCGTCATCGTCATCGTCATCGTCATCGTCGTCGCCATCGCCATCGCCATCGTCATCGTCATCGTCATCCTCATCATCGTCGTCATCGTCATCGTCATCGTCATCGTCATCGTCATCGTCACCGTCATCGTCATCGTCATCGTCATCGTCGTCGTCATCGCGTTCGTCATCGTCATCGTCATCGTCATCGTCATCGTCATCGTCATCGTCGTCGCCATCGCCATCGTCATCGTCATCGTCATCGTCATCGTCGTCGTCATCATCAGCATCATCATCATCGTCATCATCATCACCATCATCATCATCAGCATCATCATCAGCATCATCATCACCATCACCACCATCATCATCAGCATCAGCCTCAGCATCAGCATCATCATCCTCCTCCTCCTCCTCCTCCTCATCATCATCAGGCGCCCCTCTGTATCTCGAAGAAGAGAAACAAAAACATGAACATGAACTTTGGCGCTCCGCGCGGATTCCTTGGATCCGCCCTGCGCTCCCCCAGGGGCGCCTCCAGCGCCGCCCCAGGCGCGCTCCGCGCGCCAGGGAGGGGGGTCTGGTGCAGATCCAAGAAATCCGCGCGGAGCGCCACAAATTTCTTCTTCCTCTTCTACATACGGTGCCTCCTCTGTATCGCCACTTCGCCGCCTGCAGCGCCCAGTCCAACTGGCGGCACGGCGGGTCCCTCTATCTGGGGCGGCTGCTCGGCGGGGAGGTCCTCGTGGCCCTGGAAACCGCAGTCGGCCAGCCATGCTTCATGCTCTCCCGCCCATCGCGCCGTCTGCTGCGCCAGAGCCACCAGCCCCTTGCACAGCTCCACGTCGAGGCCGCAACTGCCGTGCCGCAGCGCTCCGCACTTCGCATAGCATATGTGTCCGCCGCCATGTTGCCCTTGCGCTCCCAATGAGAAAAGCGACTAGCGTGCACATCTGCCACAGAGGTGTGCGCGCGCACCTCGGTGATCCCGAAATCGTAGATGTCGAAGGCTCTCTCTAATGAGCGCCACATGTGCGGCCGTGGGTCCGTTGGCAACGTCCCCCGGCCTGGCCCCGAAGCCCGGACCGCGGCGAGCTCGACCAGCTGCTGCACCTGTCGGGGGGCCGTCATGTCAATGGTTTCACCCGTGTCGGTCGAGGTGGTGGTGGCGCTTCGGAGGATCCACCCTAACCGCCGCAACGTCTCGAATCCCGGGTCGTGCGGGGTCGTGACCGGCCGCCGCGGGTTGTCGGCGGCCTGCAGCTCCTTCGTCGCCTGCCCCAGCACCACTTGCATGATCCTGGGCGCCGGGTGCTGGTCCCAGATGGCTTGCGCCCACATGACGAGGGCCTGGCGGGTGACGATAACAAGGAGATCTACAGTGCCTCCTGAACGGTGCGAGTGCAGACGTACATCCACTGAACATCCTCGCGGTAACCTCCCGACGCTGCCAGCGGCCGCCACTCGCAGCCCATGCGAGGTACTGTTGCACATTCCTCCCATCGCGCGTTCCCAGGTGGCCTGAGCTGTCGGGCCCATCCTGTGGGCCAGCGTGGTGTCGGCGCCAGCTGCCCTTAGTCTCCTGATCCCCCTGCCTTTCCTCAGCGCCTGTGGTTGCTGAGCCCCTGTCAGCCTATCCTCCTCCTGCGCCTCTTTTTGTACTCCCTTGTGCGCCGCCATGCCTGCTCACAAGGGCCCTTGAGCTATCATGGCGCGCCCGTGACGGACGCGCCCACGCCTCCGTAAAAGGAAAGAGAACGTGCTCTCTTCTAGCACGGGTCCCCCTATTTGTACTTCGTGTCTCTCTGTATCCATACAGTCACTCCCGTACAATCCACAGTGGCAGCGGAGCCTGTGGTTGAGATCCACGAGGGGAGTCAGGACGACTCCCCTATCATTCGATTCTCGGCGACATACTCTTACTATTTTCCTGCTCTTCCCACTCTACCCTAGTGCACCGAGCGCCGCCATGGATTCTCCAGACGACGTTCAGCTTCAAGAAGATGAACTTCCAGCATATCCTTGGTTGCAACCATATCAGGATCCTTGGGCAGGAGCTGGAGGACGAGAATACGTTCTGTGGGAAGGCGATGACAATGTGGGTTGGTCAGATCAGGACTGGGCCCGCTGGTTATCACAGCCCTGGGCGGAGAAACGGCCCAATGCGCATCAATCCTCATCAGGTTGGCCTGTGCGGGGACGTGGTTCGCCGGCTGCGCCAGATCGGCAGAACGCGCCTCTGCGGGGACAGGCTGCCCCTTTTTGCTCCTTCTGCTCCGACCTGTTGGGGCGATACCACTGCCTGATCTTCTGATCGCCAGGGGGGGCGGCAATTTCCTGAACAACCGGAGGCCCCAAATATACAGAACGACCTACTTCGCACTTGGGATGGACAAGGTCTGGATTCTCCTCTAGGCCCCGTACGTGCAGGAACTGCAGATGTGGCTCGCTTACCAGAACTTCGAGGGCACAGCGCGGATGCCTCACCTATCGCTATGCCAAATACGACTTCAATATCATCATGATCGAATTTGCCGAGGACCAGCTGTCTTCAGAGGACGGCGGGCAGGTTGTGGTGGGACACATCGAGAATGCTTTTGCCGAGTGCCAAGACCGCAGGATGCCGAAGGCTTTTGAAGAGATTTTACATACAGACGACACCGAGCGTAAGCGAGATGTATCTCCGCTCAACTATATCGTGCGTAAGCGCGTGCTTTTCCGAGAAATCGAGAAGCGCGTGGCCCTGCCAGAAGACTTGACATTTTACGTGCTTCTGAGAGAATTCAAGCTCAATGACGCAGCTTAGGATGCGGTTGAGAATTGGGAATAGGGGTCATGCGATTTTGACTTGGTGGGTTTAGGCTTCGGAAGCTTGCGCGACCGCTACCTTCTGGCAAAGGCGGCCGTCGTATCCATGGCATGAGTCCCTCCTCGAATTGTGTGGGGCCGCAAGGAGACGATGGCGGCTCCGAGGATCGGGGGTCGGACCGCGAGGATTCCCAATGTATTCTTCTGCGACAGTCTTGGTTTACTTTGCCCTTTTTCTTGTGAGCAATGCGAGATCATGGCTGAGGCCGTGAATAGCATGGGCGACGACGATGCGCTCTTCCCAGCGGCGGACTTGCCCGACGGTGTGGTTCTAGAATGCGACGGGGCCATCGCCATCTATGCTAACTAAAAAAGGTACGACAATACTTACCTATACGATCGAATAAGTAGGCAATCGATCTCTCTATCGATGTCACTCAACCGGGCACCGCGAGACACTGCGGGGCACCGCGCGGCACTTGTCGATCTCATTCTCGATTTCACGATCGATCTCACCCGACGGGGCGCCACGGGACACCGCGGGCCACCACGGGACACCGCGGGTTACCGCGGGACACTTCTCGATCTCACTATCGGTCTCACTATCGATCTCCCTGCTGATATCGCTCAACGGGGCGCCATGGGGCACCGCGGGGCACCTCGGGGCACCGCGTCGTTCTCATCATCGATCTCACTGTCGATTTCATTCAACGGGACACAACGGGGCACCACGGGACACCGCGGGACACTTCGGGGGACCGCGTCGATCTCAGTATCGGTTTCATTATCGATCTCGCTATCAATCTCACTCAACGGGACACCGCGGGGCACCGCGGGACATCTGTCGATCCCACTATCGATCTCACTGTCGATCTCGCTATCGATTTCACCGTCGATCTCCCTCAACGGGGCGCCACGGGACGCCGCGGGGCACCGAGGGGTGCCGCGGGGCACCTCGGGGCGCCGCGTCGGTCTCACTCTCGATCTGATTGTCGATCTCACTATCGATCTCACTCCACGGGGCACCGCGGGGCACCGCGGGGCGCGCGGGGCGCCGCGGGGCACCGCGAGCCACCGCCGGGCGGGCGGGCGGGAGGGAGATAATCATATGTCTTGGTTTCGCCCTTGCAACGGCGGACGCCGCGGGGCGCCGCGGGGCGCCGCGGGGCACCGCAGGGCGCCGCGGGGCACCGCGGGGCACCGCGTGTCACCGCGGGCCACCTCCGGGCGGGCGGGTGGGAGGGGGATAATCATGTGTCTTGACTTCGCCCTATCAGCGGCGGGTTCATTCATCGCGCGCGCCCGCGCGGCTTCGCCTCGCCCGCGCGCGCGACGCAAACGAAGCGAAACGATTTCCCAGTTGGAGGTCTCCGTTCCGCTGCGATCTCGCCCCCAAGCCTTCGACGCAAACGGGAGCTCGCGCGATGCTCTTTCGAACGACAACCCCTGCGGGGAAAGTCCAGAGGTCCCCGAGAGGGAACGCCGAGGGGCGCGCGCTGGACGTGCCCGACCGAAGCAGTGGGGTAAAAGTATGTTGATAAAGGCGCTTGAAATGTGCCCGACGCGGGAAGATGGGGCGCTGGGCTCGGGGCTCTGCGGACGAGCCGGGCGAGCGATTGCGCGAGCGACGAGCGGGATTCGGCGGCTTCCAAGCAGCCCCCCTCGAATCAGATGATGCCCCGCGTGACGTTCGCCAACGGGGGCCCACGATCCAGCCTGGAGTCAGTTCCATCGCCTTTCCTATTGTTGCTGCTGCCGACACGGGAGATCAGGTTCTCATTGGACTTCAGGTTCAGATGGGATTCGACGTGGTGGGCGCTGGAGTTCAGCATGGAGTGCGTTGCCAGGATCAGTTTGAGAACATGTGAAATGTCTGGGAGAAACCTGCGGTCTGAAGCCCACGCAGAGACCTGCTCTGGAAATGGGCGCCATGGGCGTTGGAGGATCTACCAAGTTTCTCTCCAGCTGGGCCTTGCTTATTGCCGTGGCAAAGAATTGCGGTGCTCTTGCGGTGCATGTGATTGCCTGTGGTGTGCCTTCACTGCTTCCAGTGGAGACGCTCAGACAACTTGGCGTGGTTCTTAATTTCCCGGGTGGCGATGACGCTTGGAAGGCCCCCGACGGCAGCCAGTCGAGAGCGTGCGAGGTAGGGGCAGGGAAACGCATCGCGATCGGCAGTTTTTGATTTTTCCGAGGAAGGTTGGCAGAGAAGAAAATTAGAACGGCCTCTCCCAAGACTCAGGGGCGCCGCCGAGTCTGAGCCTGAGGGCGCCGTTTTCTACGTGAATCCGCAGACGCCCTCGGCTCAAATCTGTCTTTCCCAGCCAACTGTCTACTCCCGACGCTCCGTGCGACGTTGAACCGCGCGGGGCGCATCCCCGCAAAGAAGGGGCCGCGGCCGGAACCTCTCGCCAGATCCAGTCAGCCCGCGATGGTCCTGGATAGGCGGCCGTGGACATGGGGGCAGTTCTGTCTGAAGCTGTTCTCCATTCTGGACCGCGTGGCGACGAAGCGCCGCGCAGGGGCCCGCGAAGGGGCGAACGTCTGCAAGAATCTGATCGGGGACGCCAGGGGCCTGGGGCAGGAGGCGGCATCGTCCACGCAACGGCCTCGCGACCCGCGACCTTTCTCCCGTGTTCTGAAGATCCGCAGCGGGGAGTGGTTTGCGGTGGGCAGGGGGCTGGGCCCCGACGGCTCAGGCGCCGAGCAGACCGACCTGGCCGCGCGCGCGCGCCCCGAGAAGGCCGCGCGTCATCGGGGCAACAACGAGACCCTGTGGTGGACGTGCGACGACTGCCAGATGCGCTGGACGAGGCCCCCGATCGACGGCTTCGTCAGCAACGGCGCCCCAGACCACGTGGGACGTGCGACGTTCGGGAGGTTTGCGGGCCACGCCTCCAAGCATATCTACGATCTGGGCTTGCAGCGCTGCATCAGGCGCATGGGGATTCACGAGTCGGGCGACCCCGCGTCGCATCAACAACTCCGACGTTTGGCCACGCGCGCGGCCGTGCGCGAGATGCGCGAGAACATCGAAGACGGGAGCGGCTTCGAGACGGTCGTGGAGGAGCACGACGTCTGATGGACCGACTCCGTCGGCACCCCGTTTGCAGGTGATTTTACCAAGAGCGGGTGACAGGGGTTGTCTACTCAGGTGGTACGACCGAAGTGATTCAGGATGCTAGGTCTGGACCGTCCTCCGTCCGTACCTCGGACGAGACATGGGCTGGTCGTGCTCTCTTTTACTGCGAGGTTGCTGCCGACATGATGTTCGTTGGCGCGTCGCTGGCAAGCATCTGCCCTGAGAGTGCCTGTCTCAGCCGTGGCTGGCTGGCTGGCTGGCTGGTCCAGTATTTGGCAGGCTGGTAAGCTGGCTGTAGCAAAGGCCTGGCTGTAGGTAAAGAGCAACTATGTAAGCTTGGCTGGTCCAGTATTTGGAGAACGTATGGATGTGCTCAGAGGTGCCCCAGGCGGTTCCTGGCCGTCCGCCGCTCCAGGGGATTCGGTCGAAGCGGCCGGGGCGCGTTGAAGGGGATGGCGATTGATGTTGTGGCAGAACACCAACGGAGCCTACACTTCATCTTCGGAGGTCGATGAGGACGGCAGTGGAACGATTCCCTATCCACGGGTTAAACAGATCAATTAGGCACTCTCGGTGAACAATGGC